ACAGGGAAGTGAGTGAAGGAAATGCAGCCAATCATTTGGACTGTTTGTGTTAACTCAGTGCTTAAGTGACTTCAGCACCTTGTTACAGAGGCCTCATGAAGGGAGCTATCACAGGAGCCTCTCCGGAGGATTAAGGGAGCATTTGCCTCAGTAGGGCTAAAAACAGGCCATTTGTGCAGATGTTTAAGACACTTGTTGATGTGTGGTAAGGCTTGAGTTTCTCTAGATTACTCAGGTAAACATTGAGCTTATGCAGAGCAACAAAAGCTTGAGTTTAAAGAGCGCTTTCAAACTGTTTCCCTCCATACTGCATGCAAACAATGAGGGAGGTCATGATATCACCACTAATGGCGCGTTTCCACTGCAGCGCGGAGCCCCGTTTAAGAGAGCTGTGACGTCAGCGGCCCGTCTTTGGTTGTGTTTCCACTTGGCCTAGTGCCGGCTAGCGGGTCCTAATTCACAGTTTTTCTGGCCCCATTAAATCGTGGTTCTAGGGCCAGAGACAACGAGGCTGAGTCGGGCTGAGTATGCTAAACTAGAGAGAGAATCGCTGGCAAGGGGGCTACAACTACAACAAGTTGAACATATTTGACCGTGATTTAATTGTAATACACGTTTCAAAATGATGCCGAAGTAACAACATACTGATACCGGTTAGTAAAAACCATGAATTAATGTTTGACAAGTCTGCAGACAGACGGCAGGGGAAAAACCTTTTAAAATGCATGTTTTCTAAATGGAGATTGGCTAAGCTAACGCAGTATATGCTCCGACCGTCCACACTCACAACAACGGCCTATACAGACATAAATAAACCAGCCATGACACAGACAGTCTGTGGTTTGTACTTGTTTAACTTTTGTCTAGTTTCTGAACAGATATGAGGAGCTGTGAGCTCTGAGGGCTAACAGCTAACGGCTGTGTTGTTTTTCTGGGGTTCTCATTGAAGATGACGTCACGGCTCCGCCTACACTGCGTTACTATAGATACTACCCCAGTTCCTAAACTGTAATGGAAATGCGCCATAAAGTGAGCCAGTCCTAACGAGGCCTAGCCATACCGAGCGAGGCCGAGCGAGGCCGTGTAGTGGAAATGCGCCACAACAGCCCATCTCCAACTGGAATATAATTTACAAAAAACGAATTAATTATATATTGGCAAGTATACTCATATAATTTTCTATTACGAACACATAACATGACCAAACTATTTAAAATCTCATTTGTTTATAAAAATGTGTACACAAAGAATATGCAGCGATGTCTAAATAATCATAATAAAAGCAGTCGTTGGTTTAATACACAACAAATGAAATAAATACTTTTTAACAGTTAAAGTCTTTTAAATTATGTAAACCGCATGGAAGATGTGTCCTGATTTATAATGTCACCAGTCAAAAGATATGCATTAATAAAACACATCTTAGGCACTTGATATGATTGTTTGTTAGTTATTGGCAGTATTTATCCAGATCTGTGACAAGAAGCAATGTCTGGTGTTGAACAACCATCATGAGCAGCACCTTCTCATCACACCACAAATACTGCGTCATATTAATAACAATTCATAACTTCATTAGCATTAAGGCTGTCTCGGCTACAGTCACTAACACTTCAGTCAGGACTACCAGGTGACTGCAGAGCTGCCCAATGCTGACATGTGTTCTGAAGACAAATAATGATCCAGGAGGTTTTATTAAGAAAAGGAAAGGCTTTATTGATATGTATACCTGAACACATGCAGGGAAGAAGTGTTTTTGTTTTTGCTGTATATTTCTGTATTGACTAATTCTGGCAATTATACCTAAATAGATCCTTACAATAATTCATTTAAATATGTATATATTCCCAGACAGAATGATCAGGTTATTACTATAGAATTATTACTAGCTAGGAATATTTGATAAGTACATTAAGTTAACGCTATCTCATCAGCTTGCTCAATTTGTGTCTGTCTCTTGACGGGGATTAATTATAGGGCAGTAATTAGGACAATGGTTGGAGTAAAACGGTCTGGTCCATTAGGGATGCTTTCTGTAGTGTTCCCTTTCCTGTAGTGTGTTCTATAGTGCATATAAATGGTCTAAAATCCCTGTGTTCCCTCCAGAGGGAGTTTCTCCTCCCCCCTGCCTGAAACATGCTTCTATTCTATTGCTAAGTGGGCAGGACATCTCTAAGCTGCTGGCCAATCACAACAGAGCTGGCCAGCATCTACTTTGCACAGATGCAAAACAAGAAAATGACAAGGCAAAAAAGGCAGACTTTGAAAAGTGTGTTGTAGAAAATAATTTCAACACTTACTTCTTTGAAATAAATACCATCTTCTGCTAGCTACCACATAATGACTTCTACTTCTACTACAATCAGGAGTCCTACCTGGCATCTCATTTGTGCCTTCTGCTTTTTCTTTCCAAAGATTTTGGGCATACACATACATTTTTTTATGGAAGAAATGTAATTATGGAATAATCATTAGTAACTGCGAGCAATGATTTTGTATTTCTTGCCTTAATACACCAATGATGGAGTTACTTAGTAATACTAAAACATACATTATTCAGCTGTCAGCAGGTGATGTAACCATGGTTTTGTATTACATGATCAATATGTAGGTAGTCCAATTTGCATTGTTGGGCAGAATAAAAAACGTAAAAACATGGTTAACGTCCAAAGGTTTAATAAACTCATTAAAAAAAACGTTGGTGTGCTTTTGACATGTAGATGGAGTGTTCTCTGCAGTCTGAGAATTAAACAACTTTTCCAGCAGGCCTTGATCATGCTCACATTAATAATACTCTCAGTTGGGTGGGCTCTCACTTCACTCGTGACAGTCATTTCCTTGATGTGTGTCAAAGATTAACGATGAAGTGTTGTTTTCCACTTTCAAACTTTCAGGCTCACCAAAGGTTAAGGAAACATGGCACCATAACACAAGCCTCAGTGTTTGTCGTTTACTTCTCCATCATCCATACTTCCATTTTATGCTGGCGCAGCACTGTGTTTTGTATAACATTGCTTTTTAAAAGAGCTGGAAAATCTATAAGCACTTAAATAAAAATACAACAAATTCAGAAGAATAATCCTTCATCTACCTGTTGGAGCCGCAGTATGTGACATCCCTGCTCAAATATAAATATGCACCATGACAGTCAAATCATTTTATACTTCCAGGAATAAAGGGTGTATGTGTTTGTGTGTGTGTTAGTGTGTCTGTTTATGTGTGTGTGTGTGTGTGTGTGTGAGAGAGAGGACTTCCTATGGTTGACAGAGCAGGTAATCCACGTAGAGGCAAGCAGCTTTAAACAGCTGCAGGTCTGCCACCTTTCATCAGTGCGCCCCCCCCCCCCCCAGACAGCCTACAAACTGTCAGTAAGGCAGTGGCCCCGGGGCCCCTACTCATTCGTAGATCTCAAGCTTTACCAGTCTGTTGGCAGAGGAATCACCACACATTATTACTTATGACACCCCTGAACTCAGAAGAATGGGATGCATAAATGGCAGAGCAGGGGGGGGTTAAACCAAATTCTTTGAGTAACTTTGCATCCCTGCACGGCCACACAAAGGCAAAGCTAACCTGACATTCCTGTGTAATTAACACATCTCTCACATGGCACGTTTCTCTTGACCACTTGGGACTCCCATACAGGACCGGAGGCTTTTCAAAGCAACCCGTTCACATCTGTGATCACTGAGCCACGCAGCGTGGCCATGAAGGCAGTTAGCCTGGAACACTCTGCAGGCATTGTTTTTAATACACTGACATTTAAATTGTGATCCCACTTGCCCTTTGGAGGGGAACAACTGCACTGCTGGAAGTGGCAAAGCAACTAGGAGGGAAATATTTTTTTTTCCTAACATTAAAATATTTTGCATTAAATTTGTTACAAAATTCTAAAATTGGACACATTCATGAGAAACGATGGACACATTTCTCACTTCTTTTTCAGTTCACTTGTTTATCTCACAATGGTAATTTGTCCAAATATTAATAGTAACTGCTTTGATTTGGACATAAAATGTTAAATTAGAGCACAAAGAAAAGAGGCTACGTTTAATTCCAGTGAAATCAGTGTCTCTGAGGACACGTGGTTCATTGGCTGATGTCGGAGCTTGTGCTAACAATTAGCTAACAATAACAACTCACTTTGATGCTAACCAGGGTGGAAACAGGGTCATGACCTTTAACACAATCCCAGATCTGATGGAGAAATTAAATGAAACATCAACATGGGGAAATGCACATTCCCATGAAGATCGCCATAAGTGTCGAATCAACTTTGTCCTGATGCATTTTAATTAGGGGGTATACAAATGATTATTAACAGTATTAATGTGTGGAGGCTTCACATAACTTCTATTTTCACAGGATCAGTTCAGAAATACATGAAGTAATTGTTATCTCATTTAGTTTATTGTAGGAGACATGTGTTGAATGTGCAACAATTCATTTTCTTAGAACGTCCTCATTAATGTTCACAGCCCGTCTTCAACCGGGCTTCCCTTTCCTCTTCAAATGATATGGACCAACACGTGGCTTAAAAATGAACTCTGAGTGTGTTCTAACTTTGAGTTCTAATATGCAGATCATACTCAAATATTGCTGCTCCATGTGTGCTGTATATGTATATGTATATATATATATATATATATATTTACACAAATACATAAACCATGGAGACATGCTGTCTGACGCTCAGACTGCCCAGCTCAGTCAGAGGAACATGAGGAATGGGTTTTCCATGAATGTATGTGAACACTCGTGCTCAGGATGGTGTAAAAAACTGCAGAGCACTTTTACGTTAATACATTTTTAATGGTGTTGGCTTTGGCTTGGTTTTAATTAATGACTTGGCTAAAGCAGCTGCTTAAGCTCCGGGAGACCAGACCCTGAAGTGAGTGCAGAACCTGGATCACTTGATGCATCCTCAAAGCAGGAAACTTGTTTAGTCGTCAAAAAGACGCCGTCAGGTTGCAAGTGGGCGAGGAACACATTACAAGGTAGGTTTTACACAGTAACTGTATTGCAAAAGTAAACAAGGCGGACAATCATATCATTAACAACAATATGTTTGTTCTTCAGGATTTCTCGATGTCTTAAAAAAGTGAGCAATGATCTCAAACAGAATAGTCTAAATACAGAAAAATATAGATTCAGGTCAAAAAGGATTGTAAATACTTACTAGTACTGCAAATAACAGTAAGGGAAGACAGCTACAACAGGTATGATCCACTGTCTGGCACAGCGGATGCATTTAATAGGTCGGACATACAAAAATAAATCACAACAAAACAACACAAATATTGTACAAATAAAAACCTGAAAATATGCCCCGCTGAAAGTTCGATGGGAGCGCATCTCATCTGTGAGAAGTGGACGCATGGAGTAAATGTGTGACTAAAACATTGCTGCTATACAGTATACAGCGCATTACACTGAACATGGCCTGACCAGAAGAAAAGGGTGTGACTATAACTGGAATATTACCAATAAGAATAATAACACATTGGACATGTTTCCTATCATAACATTGACATTAAGAGAAGACAGTATGGAGATAAAAATGTGTGCTAATGGAGATTCTCGTGTGTACAATTTTCCTGATGTCCCCTAACACACACGCATCCTAGAAAAGGAAAGGAAAAGAAGAAGGAAAAACAACAACTGTCTGCTAAGGGAAATTTCACAAGTTGATGAAATAATTAAAAAGAATATTCTTAAGAATTTTACAAGTATAAAAAGCTACAAACATTAATAAATTACATCACTGACACATAAACACTTCACAAGGTGCTAGTAAAATAATTCCGAAAGCCTTCATGATACTACAAGTGGAACAAGAGGCTGGTCGCAGAAACACAGTTTCCTTTTTTCCTGTTATATCAATGTCCTCCAAGCTGTGTCTCTTGTTCAAACAGAATCACAATACAATTAGCTTTGTGTATGTAAGGCCATATGACAATACAATGTATTATTTCTTCAGTTGTTTTCCAGACAACACCTTTAAATCTAATGGGGGTTCAAAATGAATTTCTGCCTTTAAAAATGTTAATACAAATCTAAGTAAAGCAAATTAAAACAAAAGAAATGTGGTGGAAATGTAGAATGAAGCCTTAAGGGAAAGGAAGGATAGAAAAGCAGTCATTTAACAGGTTATGTACAAGCTACATTCTATAAACTGTACTTTGTGAAGGTGCTGCCTGGGAAATCAAGAGAAGAGAGAAAGTATCCCCATGTGACTGCACACCTGACATAGATGAGGCTTATCATTGGCTACAGCGCCACCTACTGTCGCACATCCTATGCTTTTCATGTCCAGACACTTGTGCTTTACAGTTGAAGTAGGCTTCCTGTCTATGACTCCAATCCAATAAATACTTAAGTGTTAACATAAAGAGAAAACTGCAGGGGGGTGGGGGGGTTGGGCGCAATCATCAGTGTGGCAATGATAAGCTGCATCCATATAGGAGAAATGATTGAGTCAAATCCCCATACCCTGCCTCAAGCGCACATGCAACTTAATACATGCAAGGGATACTTTCAAATCCTGGAATGACTGCAATGTATTTTTACTTCATCTGTTTGCAACCCCTGATAAACTGACAGCTGTAGTAAAATGAGACATGTTCTCTTAAAAAATATTTATAGTAGGTTCTGTACATCTTAATATCTGAAAGTTATAAAGTATAAGTAGAGGCAAAAACCTATTTGAGTGATGTTCTTCATAGAAATTGAAAAATGCATGATCTTGGGGGGGGGGGGGGTCCGGATGGAGTCCCAGTCCGGCAGCAGCGTTCTGCTGCATGCTACAGGAGGAGCTTTCCATTCCGATGGATCTTTAAAATCTTTCCAAGTCTCTGTTTGGCTGTTGCCATGCCTTTCTTTAGCCGCTTCGCTGTGAAGAGAAGAAGACAGGGTGAGTGTTCCGCTGCTCGGATCACCTCCACTTCACTTCTTTAAGCTAAATGCTACAAGGTCAAAACGGCTTTGTTTCCTGGCCCATAAGTGCCACCAACTGCCCGACAGTGGAACGACATGATGTGTATAATAACAGATTGTCATCATGTTACTGATGCTGCTTTCAACAGAAAGGAGGGGGTTATTTGTTATTCTCAGATCACTGCATGTAATATGCATATGCAGGTATTAAGTGACTGCACTAACCTTCAGCACCAATCATTTACACAATGACAACACAATGACAACACAATGACAACACACATCTACAGCTCTTTCTCATGTCTAACTAGATGAATATACTTTGCACCTGTTCATTGATAAAAGCCACTAATTCCATATTTGATTCCACTGACTGTAGGAAGGCTTAGTCTATACTCATTTTTCATTTGTGATTGGAACTTTTATTCATCATAAATATTTGTAATGTCTGCTTGCCTGTTTTACTGACTCACAGACTTTAATTATGTTACCAGTTACTTACAAGAAGCTTCTTGAGAAATGATTGGGACAGTCTTCTAGGTTTTATAAATGTCTCAAAGATCAGAAAACAAGCCAACCTTAGCATGCTAATATTAGCTTATTAGCACAACTGCAAAGGGTCTTAGCTATTGGTCTCTGATGCTGAGGCAGGCTGGAGGATCAGCTGTTGTTAGCGTTGGTCAAATGGAGGGCAGCTAGTTCGATAGCACGGCTAACAAATCCACACATAACGGCTCTGAACATTTGGTTCAGGCTCACCTTTGGCGTCTGCTGACACCACACGCTCCACCTTGGCCATGCTGCTGCTTGTGGTGCTCATGGGGTTGCTGCTGTTGTTGGGAGAAGAAATCGAAGGTCGCCTTTGGCTCAGAAAAACGCCGGGCGCCATGGGCTGTGGCCCCCCCGGCGACTTTACTGTTCCTGTGTTGAACTCAGGGTCCGTCAGGCTGCCGTCGTCCACATTGTGCTCCGGCGAGCTGCTGTCCTGAGACGCTTTCGGTGGCTCCTCTATTACTATTGCCTTCTTTTTGGTGCTTTTCTTCTTCTTCTTACTTTTCTGCTGCTCCTCCTGTTGACGCAGACATATGGTTGAGCAATGCTTATAGGAATAGTTGCTGTTGTTATGTAAAACTATTGCAGTGGCATACCTGATGAGAAAGCTTTGCTGCAGCTGCAGCCAGCCCCGTCTCTATGGAGGCCACGCGCGCCCCGTCTCTCGCCGGCCTCTCCTGCCGAGGAACCGAGGGTCCTACCCGCGCTTAAATCACACCCATTCAGAGGTTTAGAACACATATGCCTTTTAGAGTAGAACTTCCATTTTCAGCAATACAAGAATGTACCTGTCGGGCTGTAGGGAGTGTCGTCACTGCTTTTTCGTTTTTTTGATCTGGATTTGAAAACCGGATTATCCTCTTCAGACTCCAACGAGGGATAAACTAAAACCGAAAGATGCAAAGCATTACTGACAAGTTGGGCGGGTAGGTTTCCGATGAAAGGATGTAGACAACGTAACAGTACCGGCCAATCATGTCACAAATGTAAAACATTGAGTGTTACTAAAGTGCACTGCTTTCTGTTTTCCATGCATGTGAAGTTTCCACTGACAGCATGCAGGACAGCTGTGAGACAGCTGTGGACTGCACAGGAGAGCTCTCGTGTCTGACAATAGGATAATCAAGATAAAAAATGGCCTGTTTACAAAGAAAGAAATGAGTGCCAGTGCTTCACACTGGCCTGAAGATTTGTGATTCATACAACTAATTAGACCCTAATTAAAAGTTCAAAAGGATGTAAATGAACGATTGGCAGCTCATGTTAATGGCTTACTAACAAGCTGAACAACTGTTTGGATTGGACTCACAAAGAAAACACTTCAAAGAAAAAAAAACACAACTTGGAAAAACACGAAAGGCAAATTTGGAATAGAAGGCACAAAAAATAAACCCTATTGTGTACTCTGTGTAATGAAAAGGAATGGAAGAGCCACATATGGGTCTGGTTTTGTAACAGCACCTGTGCACTGAGGATCAGTCCTGACCACGCTGAGCAACATCAACAACATCTTCCTAAACTAAAATAGGACAGCTTACCATAATCAGAGTCCTTGAAACACGCGTCCATGTGGTCCTGGTCGTCATCGTAATCCAAACTCTCAATGCTGCTGCTTTTCCTGGGTTTCTTAGGAAGCCGTTTGGTGGGTCGCTTGCTGTTGCCACCGCCCGCCCCCCCGCCCGCCTTCCTGCCGGCCGGCGTGCTGTGAGAGTTGCTCTTGGACTGGCTGCTCCACGGTTGCTGCAGGCTGTCTGAAGACGACAGGTTGGCCATGGACAGCATGCCCTGAATGGCCTCCTGTGTGCTGGGAGATGCAGGTGGCTGACTGTAAGTACGTCAATAAAGAATACACAACAACACAGCCATTACACAGCAGTCAGCACGCCGCAGAGGTGAAGAGTAACTCAGAGATATGATCGTCCATGGAAATGTCAGCAGTATTGCTGTATTATTATCATTTGACACCAGCAAAATATAATAAAATGTTAATCTGTATAATAATACTCTCCATGGAAATATATTCCCACACCTATTACACTATGAAGCTGCTAGGCTGAACATGGAGCCTAGTGCGATCTCTTTATTCTCTGCACTCACCACGTTGTTCTTCAAAGCCCAGAAACAATTTTACAGGGTAAAAAGTAGACCATCACGAGCTGCAGCAGGCAGCAGACTGGGGGGGGGGGGGGAGCCAGGAGCCCCCATGAATCAACCGACTGCTGACAGAACCTGCTTCACTTGCTAGTTGATTTTTCAGCTCCAAGCGAAGATATAAAAGATCTGCTTTTTCATCCAATTACATCGTTGTTGAGCAAGACATTTGTTTGCCAGTTGTCGCCCATGAAGGAGCATACGACCTAGAATGTGTCTGTTGTAGGGATGTTAAGATTCACCGATTCACATCGGTGCACCGGCATAAACGTTCAAGATGCGAGTGCACCGGTTGAAAGAGTGCACATCGGCTACAGTTTGGGTTGAACTCGCGATGCATCGATTGTAGCGTCTTTGCATCGGTAAAAAAACGATTCATTCACATAATATCCCCTCATCTTGTCAGCACTCAGCAGAGACGATCTTTGATCTTTGCTTCGCACTACGGAGGCCGAGAGTCTCAGTTATCAACACACATGGAAGTCGAGGAGAAAGAGAAACACAGCGCACCGAAAAATACCTACAAATCAATCGTTTGGCAACACTTCGGATTTTTCAAGAAAGACGGACAACTTGAAAAAACGCTCACAAATTGTAAACGATGCCGTGCTGCTTTGAAGTACACAAGTAGTACGAGGAACTTAGCGACGCACATAAAGAGGCGACGTGGGGTCTGCGGCTGAAAAGAGAAACCTGAAAGTTAGACATATGAGTTAAATCACTCAGTGAGGTGTTCTGTCAGAGAGAGTGGTGTTTAGTTTACAACAGACTGTGACTGCCAATAATAGTTTAAATGTCTTCCTTACAATTGTAAGCAGTTATGAAATACCTGTTTGTGAAAGGTTATTTTCTTTATTGTTCCTATAGAAACCAATGCTTTCTGCTCTCTGGTGAGTTAGCCTATGAGTGAGTGTTAAGCACATCAGGCTGGCAGTTGTATGGACACTATGGTAGTTGTTATTTGCACATTGTTAATCCTGGGCAATGCATCCGTAAATTGTTTAACTGTGAGGTGTTATAACATTGTACTGTACTCTGGAGACAGAGAGCACTACTACACTTGTGAAAAGACCTGTTTGTAAGGTAAAAAAGAAACAGCATGATGGGATGTGCAGTACTAGTAGAGAGAAGCAAATATGTAAAGCACTTTTTTGTTAATGTATGATTTGCTGCATATAAGGAATAAAACAAAATCCTCTGTCGTACCATATTGAAATATCATTATTTTGCATCGTGTTGAATCACATCGTATCGCCCCGAATCGCATAATGTTGAATCAAATCGTATCGAACTGTATCGCAACAGGGGTGAATTGTATCGTATCGCATCGCCTGGTGCTTGAAATGTATCATTAATGTATCGTATTGTTGGCAACGTATTGAGATGCGCATCGCATCGGCCTCAGTGATGGAGATGCACATCCCTACTCTGTTGAGAGGAGAAACAAGAGGAACACTGCAGTGTTGCAGGAGCTCAGTCTACCTGTTGGTGCTGTAGTCAATCCCTCCCACTTGCTTGCTCGCCTGCAGTAGGTCAAGAATCCCTGCAGCGCTTCCGCCCTTTTTCTTGACCTTAGAGTTGCGACTCTTCACCTCAGGCTTGGCCTCTGTGTCTATGTGCAGAGTCTCTTCATCTGAAGAGTCCACACTCTAAGGAGAAAGAGACAAAAGACACACAGAGGAATATGGTGTAGCTTCAAAGTTAAGACACTTGCAGCCAAAGTTGTTTTCAATGTGACTTCTCTGATCACATTTTTCAGGTTGTGCCTGTTCATTACTTTTGAAGGTTTTTCTGCAGTTCTTACAGACAAAACTGAGCTTTGGACCCCTACTGACCACCTCTTTGTGGTTATTTAGTTTAACACAAATGTATTTGGAAATATGCACACTGTACGGTCTGTAGGACTACGTTACGGTCTGTAGGACTACGTTACTGTCTGTAGGACTACGTTACGGTCTGTAGGACTACGTTACTGTCTGTAGGACTACGTTACGGTCTGCAGGACTACGTTACTGTCTGCAGGACTACGTTACTGTCTATAGGACTACGTTACGGTCTGTAGGACTACGTTACGGTCTGTAGGACTACGTTACGGTCTGGTCTGTAGGACTACGTTACGGTCTGTAGGACTACGTTACTGTCTGTAGGACTACGTTACGGTCTGTAGGACTACGTTACAGTCTGTAGGACTACGTTACAGTCTGTAGGACTACGTTACAGTCTGTAGGACTACGTTACTGTCTGTAGGACTACGTTACGGTCTGTAGGACTACGTTTCGGTCTGTAGGACTACGTTACGGTCTGTAGGACTACGTTACGGTCTGTAGGACTACGTAGGACTACATTTCGGTCTGTAGGACTACATTACGGTCTGTAGGACTACATTACGGTCTGTAGGACTACGTTACTGTCTGTAGGACTACGTTACGGTCTGTAGGACTACGTTACGGTCTGTAGGACTACGTTACGGTCTGCAGGACTACGTTACTGTCTGCAGGACTACGTTACGGTCTGTAGGACTACGTTACGGTCTGTAGGACTACGTTACGGTCTGCAGGACTACGTTACTGTCTGCAGGACTACGTTACTGTCTGTAGGACTACGTTACGGTCTGTAGGACTACGTTACGGTCTGTAGGACTACGTTACGGTCTGCAGGACTACGTTACTGTCTGCAGGACTACGTTACGGTCTGTAGGACTACGTTACGGTCTGTAGGACTACGTTACGGTCTGCAGGACTACGTTACTGTCTGCAGGACTACGTTACTGTCTGTAGGACTACGTTACGGTCTGTAGGACTACGTTACGGTCTGTAGGACTACGTTACGGTCTGGTCTGTAGGACTACGTTACGGTCTGTAGGACTACGTTACTGTCTGTAGGACTACGTTACGGTCTGTAGGACTACGTTACAGTCTGTAGGACTACGTTACAGTCTGTAGGACTACGTTACAGTCTGTAGGACTACGTTACTGTCTGTAGGACTACGTTACGGTCTGTAGGACTACGTTTCGGTCTGTAGGACTACGTTACGGTCTGTAGGACTACGTTACGGTCTGTAGGACTACGTAGGACTACATTTCGGTCTGTAGGACTACATTACGGTCTGTAGGACTACATTACGGTCTGTAGGACTACGTTACTGTCTGTAGGACTACGTTACGGTCTGTAGGACTACGTTACGGTCTGTAGGACTACGTTACGGTCTGCAGGACTACGTTACTGTCTGCAGGACTACGTTACGGTCTGTAGGACTACGTTACGGTTTGTAGGACTACGTTACGGTCTGCAGGACTACGTTACTGTCTGCAGGACTACGTTACTGTCTGTAGGACTACGTTACGGTCTGTAGGACTACGTTACGGTCTGTAGGACTACGTTACGGTCTGGTCTGTAGGACTACGTTACGGTCTGTAGGACTACGTTACTGTCTGTAGGACTACGTTACGGTCTGTAGGACTACGTTACAGTCTGTAGGACTACGTTACAGTCTGTAGGACTACGTTACAGTCTGTAGGACTACGTTACTGTCTGTAGGACTACGTTACGGTCTGTAGGACTACGTTTCGGTCTGTAGGACTACGTTACGGTCTGTAGGACTACGTTACGGTCTGTAGGACTACGTAGGACTACATTTCGGTCTGTAGGACTACATTACGGTCTGTAGGACTACATTACGGTCTGTAGGACTACGTTACTGTCTGTAGGACTACGTAGGACTACATTTCGGTCTGTAGGACTACGTTACGGTCTGTAGGATTATGCTGCGGTTATGATGGTATGGTGTCAGTGACCACACAAGCACCTGCTTCATATTCATGCCCCACCTTTTACTTTCAGCTTAGAGGGTTCTTGTTCAGATTCACAACATTGTATCTCTACACTTGAATTTGAGTTTTAAAGGAGCATTGCAGCATGGTCTTGTCATGGTAAGCTTGATAACATGATGGCCAGGAGGGAAGGATTGCCATCTGTAATACGTACCGGTTTCACCAAGGGCTGAAACTTTGGTTTCTTGGCTGGTTGAATGGGTTCTTTAATGTCCGACAAAACTGGAAGAAAAAACATTGACCATTGAGCAACAGCTCAAACACAGGATGCAATGGAAATATTGCTTCATTTTGGACAGTAAGGCTGGTTGTTAGTGCTAATACCATACTCGACCAAAACAACAATCTATACTTTACTCTGGTGAATACACATTCTAACATATCTGAAATGTCTTTGACAGGGTCTCACTTTGCTATTTTGTGTGGTTCTAGTTATCTAGCTAGGAAGACAATGTCTCAAAGTGCCCAGTCCCCATATACACAGGTTTTATCATTCTATTGAAACGCTGTTCACACAAGCACAGTTTAATAAATGTCTACACATAAAAAAACACACACACACACACACACACACACACACACACACACACACACACACACACACACACACACACACACACACACACACACACACACACACACACACACACACACACACACACACACACACACACACACACACACACACACACACACACACACACACACACACACACACACACACACACACACAATAACTCTGTGACCTAAACGCTGTGTGGGTGTGGCCAAAATGCAAAGAAAAGGCTATGTTTACATAAGTACTGTGAACGTGAGGTCAAGGCCTCCATCCCTGCTACAAAGGGACACTCACAGGACAGATCTCTCTTGACCGCGTTCTTTTTCCGCCTGATGGGGAACTCGTCAATCTTCAGCTCCCCCTCATCCGAGACGTACTCGTACTCGTCTCTCACCGGCTTGGATTTGTCCTCTTTTAGGTTTTGTAATGATCCAAAAACACTTGAGTTGGTCTGAGGTTTCAGCATCTTGGAGCTGAAAAGCAAACACAGGATAATGACGCAGTGTTGGAGCTGCTGCTATGATCACTACAGAACACCTGAGAGCGGGGCAAACATACCCCAGCGTCTTCTTGTGAGACATGGTGAAGCTGAATCTGTCTTTATTGCCTGACAGTGGTGTTCTGTCAAATTTGCAATCTTCTTCCATTTTCAGCAGGGAATCTGGTTTACTATTCTGTAAAGTTACACAGGACATATCTTAAGTAAACTTTCACATCATAGCATTTTTACGTTTTAGCTCTTTGTTTTGCAGCTGTCATCAACTTGGTGAACATGGTGGAGCATTTATTATTTGTAATGTTTCAGATAATAATTAAATAAGATGATTTAAAGTTAATGTGGTGTTAGCAGCTAATTGTATTTCCTCCAGAGAAACAATCAAATCAATGAAATCCATGCTGGCGGCTTTCACACTGCCCATTCAGTCCTGCCGTTTAGCGCGTTATGTTTATTTAATAGTGAAGTCTTTAGTTCAGATGTTTATTCTAAGCTTCATAGGATTGATTTTTATTTTCCTGACATTCATACATTATATTGTACTAGTTGCTTTTATAGTTCATTTCATTTACAGTGAAGATGAATGTACGGTTTCTCTATCTTTTAATTACGACTATCCATTTCTGTAAAAGGCCATGCTCAATACACAATACCTGGGATACAATGGGTTCAATTTAAAGGAACATTTTCAAAATAAATCATGGGACCAAAATTTGAAGCCAATACAGTAGCACGTACACTGGTTTGGCTAACCAAAAGCTATTGTTCTTCCAGGATTCTTGCTTCTTGTTTCTGAGTTTTTTATGTTCATAGTTGATTGCATTTATTGTAAGAGGCTTTGGATAAAAGCATCAGCTAAATGTCCTGTAATGATGTTTCTCAGAAAAATGTCAAAATGTCAAACAACACAAAATGCCGCTTAGCACTGTAGCAGCCACCAAATGGCTAGAATCAGCACATGTACGGATGTAACATATGCAGTTATATCGGATGTAAACTGCTGTTATTTGACTTCAACTTAGGATGGATGATCAGTACCAGTCTCATCAACTCATTGCAAGACACAAAATGCAATCCCCCTTCTGTGATGGAGAGATTGTATTTAAAAGAGATGAGTGATATCAGAATGATCACGCATGATATTTTCTGAGCCAACTCAACCTAAACTAAATGTAGGAATGCAGGAATGGCCTGACAATCACCAATGAGCACACTGTGTGGTTAACTGTGATCCACGAATATTCTTTTTCCCTCTACAACCATTTTGTCTCCTAAATAAAAGGCATGTGAGGCGTGTTGTGACCAGAATGCTTTCTGTTCACTGAGGATAACATGTAGCATTGCCTCACTGCAGCAGAGATCTTGATGACTCAGCAGAGCATCAGGGACCTCAGGGTCTCTGCTCCAGCTGCAAGTGTTTGATGTGAGGAGATCCTTGGAGCATTCCAGCAGTTTGGCATGGAATGTTCCATGAAACCAAAACCCTTTTAAAGAAGAGGGCACATGTAACTACTTGGATTGAAGGCGGCCGATGGGCACGAGGTGTGATTTCATGAGGTGAACTCAACAATACTTTTGGAGGATCTTACATGTTGTTCCTGTTCAACTTGAACCAGTGAAAACTCTTTGAGTCCTTTTACCAAAAGTCTGAAATTATAAAGGCTTGTGATATTCTTGACTTTTACATGCAGCCATTAGTTTAAATCATCAATCATCGACTTCCGGTTATGGTGGCTTGCTAGAAAGACGCAACTATCAGTGCTCCGCCAATTTCTATCTTAAATACTGTTTTACCCACGTTTTATGACAACCCATTGTATCTACTCTACGGAAAAGAGAGTGAAATGTCGGATGCAGCCGGAAAATCGACTAAAGGACGAACAAAATCACTTCGGTCTAAACTAGAAAACTTCGGAGCATCCAAGCTACACGTGGAAGCTAAAGAAAGTTCTCCTAGCGCTAGCATAGCGCCGGCCATGGCCTCTGTTGAGACGGGTGAGATCGGGCTGGGGGAAGCTGGCTCGGAGAAAATCCTGGTTGCCATAGGCTCTCTAAAGTCTGACTTTTCCACAAGACTTGATGGCATTATAGGGAGTGAGAAAGGAGGTACGTGAATGCTCAGAACGAATTGCAGAGGATGAAGTAAGAATCTCAGGTGAAAACACTCGAGGCTAAAAACACCAAGCTAGAGGATAACGTTGAAGACTTGGAGGCAAAATCCAGGTTATCCAACTTGAGACTGGTGAATCTGCCAGAAGACGCCAAAGGAGGGGATGCTTGTGCTTTCCTCGGAAACTGGATCCCAGACGTATTGAATTTGGACCAGCTACGTTCAAAGTTTATACTGGAGAGAGCTCACAGAATCGGCCAGAGGAGGGATGCTAATGCCCCACCAAGAACATTTATCATGAAATTCCTAAACTATAGGGACAAGATGGTTGTAACGAAGGCAGCCAGGGCAAAAAAACTGATCCTAGACCAGCAGTGAGATTTTACCCATACTTGGCTGCAGGAGTGCACAAGCGGTAGAAGACGTTCGATAATGTCCGTCAGAAACTACTGAACCTGGGGATCCGGTACGGCATGCTATTACCGGCTCGGCTCCTGGTAACCTACAAGGACAAGTCGCACACTTTTGAGAACCCGTCTGCTGTGGAGAACTTCATCGAGCGGATTACAAGAGAGGAGGGACAGGCTGATTAACGTTGTTACAGTATAACTTGAGTCATGACAGCTGGCGTCATTCTATTATTTTAGACAGGGGTGTGGCCTTTGTCGAATAACCAGGAAATACACATTTCGATCGCTTCTTCTGTCGTTTACATTCATCTTTTGGTATTTGGGTCCATAGGAACACTTGGATGCACATTCAGTACCAGTGTGTGAGGTTGTGGTTGCGATGCCGATATCCGGACGCGTACAGCGAGGACTACAAAAAGACACATGAGGTGACTGGGGATGTCTGTTCAAAACATTGCAAGCTTGAATAAATCATTTTTGCAAAGATAGCAGCAGAAATGTCATTGCTACATGTGCAGGGATATTTAGACTTTAAATGCTGCTTGATCATTAATGTTGGTCTCGGCAAACAATATTATGAATCCTCTATTCAAAAATATTATTCAGTGTTCATCGACATGAAAATAACTAAAAAGTTCATGCTGGACTCAAACAGCACTCCCAACAGCAAAAATCACTCGAGCCCTGCGCGTTATGAGTGAGCTACGGATCAATACGAAATATTTGATAATCACAGCTGAATTTCTTACATTGACATTGTTAAAAGATTCAGAAAAATTCAACCCGACCATCATTTATAATGTGAGCGAATTTATGTACACTTTAAGCCACATAATATAAATATTATAGTAGGCATTTGCTTTGAAATACTATACTGACTGAGGTCTGTATCAAGCCTCATTAAGACCCACCGAGATCAGATATCCTAGTTTATCAGTCCACATTATGTTGTGATAAGTGGTCATTTCACATATAAATGTATTCTATTGCACACATTAAAGGAGACATGTCATGCTTTTCCGGTTATTACCCGTCCCCTTGTGTGTTATGAAGGTTTTTATGCATATAAACGGTGTGCAGAGTCACAAACCCTCAAAGTACACCCTGTAGCGAGTAAAACTCTAACACAGAAAATACCTCCCCAAAACGCCTCGTTGGAGATACGTCATTGTCCATTTGATTCTTTCGGGTACGGGATGATGTAATCCCGTACCCGGAACGAAATGGACCAATCCGTGGAGCCGTTACGTTACGTCCGCGGAGCCGTTACGTTAAGCCCCCGCTGATTGGTCCAAATTGACCAATCCACGGACTTCCTCACACACACATCTGTGTGCAGGGAGCAGGCAGCTCAGCTGATTTCTCCTCCCTGGCTGCAGGCTGATAACAGACAGTTGGGATCGCGGCGAAATTCTCTCTGCAGACCCATTCTCACAGCGTTTATCAACCTTTTTCTTACTCAATATCAAGCCACACTCATTGTTTTTACTTCGGCTGTGACTTTGTGTGTGCTCAGGATGAGTTTGGCTGTGTTTGGCTGTGTATCGCTAACAAGGAAACAACACCTCCACGGAGCTCAGCGCGATTCACAACGTCCCGACCAATCAGAGCACACTGTGCTCACAGGGAGGGTGGGGGCTGGAGCTATTGGAGCTACAACGAGCCGTTAAAGGCAGAGAGTGAAATTCAGTGAATACAAGTAGTTTACAGAGATGCTGTATGAGAAACCAATGTGAGTTTGGAACATTGCACAATATAAATCTATTCTAGTAGACCTCAACAATGGAATTATGATCAGTGGAAATGGCCATGACATGGGACCTTTAAGTTCAAATATGCAAATCAGGCCATGTGTTTCATTATGCAGTAGCATGTCGGTAAATGACAATCATCACCGACAGATGGAAAGACAACAATAACAAGAAATGAATATAATAACAACTCAGACAGACTGTATGTTTCACTAACAGACTGTATGAAAGTATAAACGGGTCTCAAATCGACTCGACATCATATTAATAACGATATATGATACAAATATAAGACTGACAACAAGAACAAGCCACAGCAGTCGTATCACAATTTATCCTGGGCGGAGCTCTCCACAGCTGAAGACTTCTCCACGCTGCTTTCAAACTGTGAGTAAACAACGTACGCTTCACTTGGAGGCTGTCTGAAGGTGTACACAGGTCTCAGATGGACTTGGTATCACATTAACAATGACATTCAGTAATAAGTCTGGCAAAAATAACTGGTTTAAATGATTTATTCAAGCTTGCAATGTTTTGAACAGACATCCCCAGTCACCTCATGTGTCTTTTTGTAGTCCGCGCTGTACGCGTCTGGATATCGGCATCGCAACCACAACCTCACACACTGGTACTGAATGTGCATCAAAGTGTTCCTATGGACCCAAATACCAAAAGATGAATGTAAACGACAGAAGAAGCGATCGAAATGTGTATTTCCTGGTTATTCTACAAAGGCCACGCCCCTGTCTAAAATAATAGAATGACGCCAGTTGTCATGACTCAAGTTATAATGTATCAACGTAACCTGTGGCTGTGCCCGGCTAAAAGGCTAACATGGGCTAACTGTATGTGCAGGTATCATGACTTATTTTCTTTAAGTATATATTTGCGGTCGGGCATCTTGGAT